CCGCGCGTCGGCCCCGCCCCACTCCCACGCGCCCCCAGACGGCTCGGCGCCGGACAGCCGGGAAAAACGGTACAGGTTGCTGTCGGAAGTCCCCCTGCAGGTTCCCCTTCCGTTCTGCCTAACGACTTCCGCTTTGGGCCGTCAACATGGACGCTGCAGCTGCCTGGCAAAGCAGCCTCTGATCGGTGGCGGAGGCTCAGTTTCTCTGCGGCGGCAGCCCCGCTTCCCCGCCCTTCCGCCCCCCGCTCCTCGCTCTTGTCCCTGGGGCCGGCAGGCTCGTCGCTACATGGGGGCGGGCCTCTGCTCCCAGCGCACGGCTTCCTGTTCAGAGACGGTCTGGCGGTAGGCGGCTCTGCCGGCGCCCACTTCAGCGCGGTGACCGAGCCCCCCGGAGGCTCAAGGGCTACATCTCGTGCCTCTGCGCCAAGCTCGGTTCTGTGCCGCCATGGCCCCAGTGCAGCTGGAGAACCACCAGCTAGTCCCGCCCGGAGGCGGTGGCGGAGGTAGCGGCGGCTCCGCATCTGCCCCGGCGCCACCTCCACCTGGAGCTGCCGTAGCGGCCGCCGCTGCGGCTGCTGCTAGCCCTGGCTACCGGCTGAGCACCCTCATCGAATTTCTGCTGCACCGGGCCTACTCGGAGCTCATGGTGTTGACGGACCTGTAAGTACCGCGAAACCCATGCCTGCTCCCCAGCCCCTCCTTTCCCGCCTAACCCGCTGAGAGGTTTGCGCCTCCCTTTCCCGAAGAGGCTGCTGTTTTCTCTGCGGTGCTGCTTAGTCTAGAATTTCTGAACTCTTGGGGCTCAGCGGAGGTGGAGGAGAAGCTTTGCATTTGGGGTCTTTCTGAAGAAGCAATCGAGTCTTTTTAATATGTATGTTGTTAGACTTTCGCTAAAAATCCCATCTTTGGGGTTCTTGCTCGAGTTGCCAGCTGAACCCTATTGATTTCTTGGTTGGAAGCTTTTTAGCCCAAAGCTCAAGTATAGAGTTTAGGAATACATAATATTCGAGCTTTAAAAAAAATCCCAAAGGTGGGAAATCTGTTTTGCAACCTCTTGACGGTACATTTTAAATGAGGGTTGTAATCGCTTCTTACTAAGTTTGAACTCAGGAGATGTGCATAAAAAGAATCCAAAATTTTGGATTCCAAGTTTTTTCTTTTCTGGAACATTTGAGAGTGCTTGAAATCTTAACACATTTAGTGCAAGTAAAAGATTTTTTGTAACTGGCCTACTGTTATTTCTTGAAGTATGAAGGGAATTTGTAAATCACCAAGTTACTCATGAAATGCCTTGGGACGTGATTAGGGTGTTAATCCCTTCAGAATAAGATCAGAATACACGAATGGTTTTCAGTGTGTGAAGAAAAGGCACTGTAAAATTTGGGGGTATATATACTTTAATTACTATTTTATGTGTTTTACTCTAGCTTCAGAAAAAGTAAGAATTATTAGTTTTTATCTAGTTTATCTGTTGCTAGACTCTAGATCAGTGTTTTCAATTGAAATAATTAGTACACGGATATTAGACTGTAAAGTGTCAGTAATTAGCTACTAGACGCTTAATATATTTGTTTGCAAATGACTAAAATAATTCTATTCTTGTAAAACATCATTCTCACTCAATTTCGATATGCTGTACTTTATTGAATGGGACAGAAAGAAGTCTACCCCTGTCTAAAGAGAAACTTAACTAGATGCCATGATTAGGGATTATCGTAGTAATATACTTCTTTGCACCATTTATTGTTGGACTACATAAAAATCTAAGAGTATCCATGAGAAAATTTCATGTATGTAAAGGTCACCTGTCCTATGTATAGCTATGAAAAAGTGTTGAAAAATGCTTCTATCAGTGGTTGTGTAATTTGTATAATTTGATTTTCTATAGGAGATTTGTAGCAGTTCTTTGAATTATATTGTGTGGTTTTTACTATTTTAGGACTTCGTTATAGAGAAACATCAATTTCATTGCTGTAGAATATGTATATAATTTTAGTCCCATGCCCTTTATATTATGATGGTTCCCATACTTATAGTTCCAGCATAGATCTCTCCACTGACTCCAGACTCTGTATCCAGATCCCTACATTTAAATACCCAACAGGCATTTCAGTGTTCCCGGTCCAGAACCAAACTCCTGCTTCCACTCCATCTCTCCCCCACCAACCTTTCCTATCTCATAAATAGTGTCTCCATTCTTTTTATTGTTGCTTAGGCCAGAAATACTGGAATACTTTCAGGCTCCTCTTTTTTCTAGTTCCACACCCAGTACATCTCTGACTTCAGAATCTGACCACTTTTCAACATTTCCATCAAGTCTTATTCCTTTGCATGTGTTACTGCAGTAGTATGCTAACTGGTTTTTCCTCCGTAAAATAGACAGGATGATTATTTTAAAACTTCTCTGCTCACAACCCTCCAGTGGTTCCTCATTTCGCTTAAAGTTTTTATAGTCACCTGTTTATAGGGTGACCATAAAATTTATGGTCCAAATCAGGACACTTTTGAGCATGAAAGGTGGTGCTGTTAGTAATGTTAGAGCAATAGGCATAAACCGAGACTGTCTTGGCAAACCAGAACATGTGGTCACCATGCCTTTAAGACCCTATGTGAACTGTGCCTTTTCTCCCTTTCCTCTTTAACTTCATTTCCTAATACTCTCCTCCTTGCCTATTCTGTCTACTCCTGATGTTTCTTAAGTGTCAGGCATACTCCCCCCATTAGATCCTTTACTCTTCTCCCAGAAATCTTTGTGGTTTGCTTTCTCATTTCTTTTGGATTTTTATTCAGATATAATTTTTCACAAGACTTTATCTATGAAAAGCCCTCTGCCTCTTCACTCTGTCCTTCTTTACTCACTGCTTTGTTTTTCTGCATAGCACTTACTGTCTGTCATTGGACATTATTTATTGTCTGTCTCCTCCCTGCTGGAAGCTCTGTGAGGACAGGGATTTTTATTTGTTTGCTGCTTTCCCCCAGAGCCTAGAGCAGTGCCTGGCACGTAGTTGGGTTTAAGTATTTATTGATTTAATACTTCAACAAATGAATTTTGAGAGTTGTCATTGTAGACCATGGAGAATTTTATGGGAAAATTCACCGTTGCTCTTGGTGCATAGGTGTATGTAAAATAACTTTTTTCTCCTTTTGACTCGTGGTAACCAATGTTAGTTTAGGAACTTTGCTTGGAAGTTCCTAAATCATGTTTTTTCCCCCTTGTTCTAGGTAGAAACTGTCAGGATTAATGTATTAATATAAAATCAGTGTTCTAGATACACTTTATAAAGTCTTATTTCTGCCACATTTGATGCTTGTCTGTGAACTATCAAAAGTAAAAAGGACAGCCTTGACATTTTAGATGGTTTGTTTTTGGCCCTAGATTTCTGTTTTTTTTTTTTCCTTCTCCACCACTTCCTCCTTCTGCCTGCCCCAATATATACACTCTCATCTTAGAATTTACATTTCGCCTTGATGTTTTAAGGATTTAGCTTCTACTCTTTTTTTTTTTAAACCCTTTAATTAAAATCAGAAAATGCTAAAATCTCAGGTAAACATATCATACTTTGGTGTAAATAAGTTCTTGTGACTTACCACTTCCAAAAATTTGCATTTTAAGGCTTTTGCCCCAAATGGTGGATTTGTTATCTATAAATGAATTTTAAATAGATTAGAAGGAACTGAGGGAAAAGGGATGCAGACAGCAAAGCCTATCTTTTGCTGTCTAGAGTCCCTGGGGCAAGTGGGAAGAGCTGGAACAATGATTCCTGTTTTTCTTACCCGTAAAGGCTAGATCTACTATTCTGTTTTTCCTTCTCCGTCTCCGTCTCCGTCTCCGTCTCCTCTCCCTCTCCCTCTCCCTCTCCCTCTCCGTCTCCCTCTCCGTCTCCCTCTCCGTCTCCCTCTCCGTCTCCCTCTCCGTCTCCCTCTCCGTCTCCCTCTCCGTCTCCCTCTCCGTCTCCCTCTCCGTCTCCCTCTCCGTCTCCCTCTCCGTCTCCCTCTCCGTCTCCCTCTCCGTCTCCCTCTCCGTCTCCCTCTCCGTCTCCCTCTCCGTCTCCCTCTCCGTCTCCCTCTCCGTCTCCCTCTCCGTCTCCCTCTCCGTCTCCCTCTCCGTCTCCCTCTCCGTCTCCCTCTCCGTCTCCCTCTCCGTCTCCCTCTCCGTCTCCCTCTCCGTCTCCCTCTCCGTCTCCCTCTCCGTCTCCCTCTCCGTCTCCCTCTCCGTCTCCCTCTCCGTCTCCCTCTCCGTCTCCCTCTCCGTCTCCCTCTCCGTCTCCCTCTCCGTCTCCCTCTCCGTCTCCCTCTCCGTCTCCCTCTCCGTCTCCCTCTCCGTCTCCCTCTCCGTCTCCCTCTCCGTCTCCCTCTCCGTCTCCCTCTCCGTCTCCCTCTCCGTCTCCCTCTCCGTCTCCCTCTCCGTCTCCCTCTCCGTCTCCCTCTCCGTCTCCCTCTCCGTCTCCCTCTCCGTCTCCCTCTCCGTCTCCCTCTCCGTCTCCCTCTCCGTCTCCCTCTCCGTCTCCCTCTCCGTCTCCCTCTCCGTCTCCCTCTCCGTCTCCCTCTCCGTCTCCCTCTCCGTCTCCCTCTCCGTCTCCCTCTCCGTCTCCCTCTCCGTCTCCCTCTCCGTCTCCCTCTCCGTCTCCCTCTCCGTCTCCCTCTCCGTCTCCCTCTCCGTCTCCCTCTCCGTCTCCCTCTCCGTCTCCCTCTCCGTCTCCCTCTCCGTCTCCCTCTCCGTCTCCCTCTCCGTCTCCCTCTCCGTCTCCCTCTCCGTCTCCCTCTCCGTCTCCCTCTCCGTCTCCCTCTCCGTCTCCCTCTCCGTCTCCCTCTCCGTCTCCCTCTCCGTCTCCCTCTCCGTCTCCCTCTCCGTCTCCCTCTCCGTCTCCCTCTCCCCCTCCACCTTCCCTCTCCGTCTCCCTTTCCCTCTCCCCCTCCACCTTCCCTCTCCCCCTCCACCTTCCCTCTCCCTCTCCCCCTTCGCTCTCCCCCTTCCCTCTCCACGTTCCCTCTCCACCTTCCCTCTCCACCTTCCCTCTCCACCTTCCCTCTCTATCTTCCCTTTCCACCTTCTCTCTCCCTCTCCACCTTCCCTCTCCCTCACCACCTACCCTCCTTAAAGGATGAAGGTTGTGGCTTCTCTAGGAGTGTTCTTGGGAGCTTTCGCATATAGAGGAATTTGCCAGTAGCTGCTTTTATTTGCAGTCTTACAATAAGGCCCTAATTTCTGCTTTATCCTCTGATCTGCTGGTTCTTCCAGCCCTAGTTTCCTTTATTACTTGGATGACATCTTTAGCTTCCATCCCACTGTCTACTCTAAGAATTGTAGATAACTACAAGCCACGGCTCATTTTAATAGTATTCCCTCTGTGTACTTTGAATCTCTGGAGGTGGTTTTAGTTATTCTGCACCTGTGGCACGTGGGTGCGG